ATATATATATATATTCGTTACTTCGTTTCTTTTATTAAAATTAAAAAACGCTACTTCCCTTACTATTTATTATTACTACGCTATTATTATTATTATTACTATTACTATTACTATCGAACCGTTTATTTTAAAAATATTTAGAATACTAAAATACTCACTCGTCGACTTATAGGGATACCTTAAGGGCTAGTAGTTCGATCTTATTAGTATTATATTTAATAATCCCGATTTATAAAAGGATTATTTAAAAGAGTATAAACTAGCTATTATTAATTTAAAAATCTAAAAAGACGTATATACTCTTATAAGTATTATTATTATTAGTACTTAGCTTACATAATATAGCCTTAATATACTTAACTAACTCCTAAATATTATTAATACTTTAGTATTATTATAATAAAATAGGAAATTTAGAGAGACTAAAAAGAAAAATCTAGAGCTATTAAAAAAAGTAAAAAGTAGGGGGTAGTTTTTAGCTATTTAGAGGGCGATTAATATATTATAGTAGCGGGGTTATTAATAATATTTGAAGTTTAGTTAATATTAATAGTTAATAATAGCTATACTAGCTATAGCCGGCTATCGTTAGTTAATATAAAGTCTTATTAAAATACGTAATAAAAATACTTAATATTAACCTTAATAAACTAGCTTCCCCGTAAAGGCGAAGATGACCCCTAATAAGGCAGGTCGGACCCTAAAGGGAACGAGTTAATTATAATTATAAATATATAAATTAAGAGACCGTATACTTCCTAATATATGTTAATAATTAATAAAAGTAACTATAGTATAATATTATAAAAATTAGAAATATTAATATTATTTTTAAAGTTTTATAGTTACGAAAATATAACTTATAAATAAATTAGATTACTAACTAGGTTTTTTAAGAAAATCTAATTACTAAACGACTTAAAAAAAAAAGAGAAAAAACGGATTTTTAATAACTTTTAAAAAAAGAGAATAAATATAATATATAGTTTTTATTAAAATAGTAAAAAGATTTAAGAAGTTTATATATAGTAGTAATAATTAAAGATTATAACGACTTTAAATTATATTTAAAAAATACTAAATATATACGAAACTATTTATTTAATTTTTTAATCTACTTTTACTAGTTATTCGGGCGGTTCTTAATATTACTTATATAGTATTAATATATAGTATTAGTATATACTCTTACTATTTTGATAGACTATTTTTTTAGATTTTTTACTTTTCTACCTTTCCTTTTTATAAAGTTTAAGATTATTAACGGCAATACTAAGCGCCTAATGCTACTATTTTATAAGCCTACTACGTACCTAGCTAAGTTAGCTACCTTTTTAAATATAGTAGTTTATAACGGTAATATTAGAAATACCCTCGTTATTATTATTAAATAATATCGACCTTACGATATTTACTATATTTTTAATTTTAACTCGTATATATATATATATATATTCGTTACCTCGTTTTTTTTATTTAAGTTAAAAACGCTACTTCCCTTGCTATTACTATTATTATTATTATTATTATCTAACTATTTACTTATTTAAATATACTTTATTAAAATACCGAGATACTAATAGCTCGTTAACCCTTAGGGTTTCCTTAATAATTAGAAGTTCGATTTTATAAGTATTATATTAGACGACCCCGAGCTATAGAAAGACTGTTTTAATAAATATTATATCCGCAATATTAACTTATAAAAAAATAATAAATATATTATTATAAGCGTTACCCTTATCAATACTTTTTTAATATAATAGAGTATAAATAAGCTAAGACTTAATAATATAATTAGGAGCTTAGAAAGAGCGTAAGCGAGCGTATTAAATAAGAATATTAAAAAGAGGTTATTATTAAATAAGATAAGAAGAGAAAGTAAGGGGTAGTATTTAGCTATTAAAAAAGTAATTAATTTATTATAATAAGATCGTTAATATTTTAAGTTTAGTTAGTATTAATAGTTAGTAACTGCTACGGCTAGCTATAGTTAGTTATAAAGTTTTATTAAAGTACGTAATAAAAATACTCGATATTAACCCTAATAGACTAGCTTATTTATAAAAGCGAAGATAGCCCCTAATAAGGCGGACCAGACCCTAAAGAGACGAAACTATTTATAAAACCTAAAAAAATAGGATTATTGAAATATAGTAATTAAAATATAAACATCGAATTTAAGAAAAGAGCGTAACTTAAGTTCTATTTAATATACTTAATAAATTAAAGAGAATAAGAATATTTTAATAAATATGTTAACAAGAAGCTTCAAAAGGGATATATTTAATTATTGAATTTTCTTATAAAATTCCCTCTATTTTTTAGATTAAATAAGGGTAAAAAATTAAAACTTATTATTAATTATAAAAAACTTAATAAGATTATATAAAAAAAAATACTATTCCTTATTACTTATTACTAAGCTTAGAAATCTATTTTATAAAACTAACTAATTTATTATTATAAATCTTAAAAAGTTTTTTAATTAGATTTAAATTAAAAAAGGAGATAAATAAAAAATAGTATTCTAAACTTATAAAGGACTTTTTAAGTACTTCGTTATACCCTTTAAACTTATTAATACTCCGGTAACTTTTTAAATAATAGTTAACTACGTACTCTAAGAGTACGTTAATGTTTTTATTATTATTTATATTAATAATATTCTTATTTTCTCCCCTAATTTTAAAATATATAAAAAATATATTTATATAATATTTTAAAAAATTTAAAACGCTAAGCTATATATTAAACCCTCTAAGTATAAGTTTTATATGTAAATAATATATTTTTTAAAATATATTATTATATTAAGATAAGTTTATACATAAGTATTAAAAATAAAAGTAGTTAGGGACTAGCTTATATTATAAAACGTTAAAAACGTATAAGGATTCTTAAAATTCGTTAATTTCTATTAATAAGTTTTTAAAAACTATATTAGTATAGTTAGACCTCTTAATAACTTAATATAAAAAACACCCTATTTATTTAGGACCCTAAGTATAAAAAAGTATTTATTAAAATTAAGAATATAGTTATTTTTAAACTAATTATTATAATTTTAAATTTTTAAAAACCTTTTAAATTTAAGATTAATACTTTAGACTTTATTATAAGAGCGGTTTTAAAATAATAAGATAAATAAAAAAAGCTTTATTTATATTATTTTTATTTTAAAATATTTTATAAACTAAAATTAAATTAGTAAATTTATAATAAAGAATTAACAATAATTATTAAAGTATTTTAAAAATAAAAACCGTAGTTATCTAGAATTAAGTATAAAGTTATAGTTTATATAGATTATAAAAATCTTATCCCTTTGGGGTCCGGTCCGCCTTATTAGGGGCTATCTTTACTTTTATAAGTAAGCTAATTTATTAAAGTTAATATCGAGTATCTTTATTACGTACTTTAATAAAACTTTATAACTAACTATAGCTAGTCGTAGTCGTTATTAAATACTAATAACCCCGCCGCTATAATATATTAATTACCCTCTAAATAGCTAAAAACTAACCCCTATTTTCTACCTTATTTAATAAGTCTAGAATATCCTTTTTAGTCTTTCTTAACTTACTCTTATACTACGTTTTTAAAGTATTAATAATATTTTAAAATTAATTAGGTATTTTAAGCCCGTATTATATAAGCTAGGCGGTTATTAAGGTAATAATTATATTAATATATATTTTTCTAATTTTTAAGTTAATAATATTTAATCTATATTTTTTAAAACGACCGTATTATAATTTAGGATTCTTTAGTATAATACTTATAAAATTAAACTTTTAGTTATTAAAAAAGCCCTAGAGGTCGATAATAACTAAGTATTTTAATATTTCGATAGTATATATTTAAAATAAACGATTCGATAGTAATAATAATAAGGTAATAATAATAAACGGCGAGGGAAATAGTATTTTTTAATTTTAATAAAGGAAACGAGGTAACGAATATATATTTGATTTTATGTTCTGCCTTTGCTGGTTGCTCGGGCGGTTCTCGATATCGATTATATAGTATTAATATATAGTATTAGTGTATACTCTCACTGTCTCGATGTAACGAATATATATATATATATATATTAGTAATAAGAAGGTTAATATCGTTCTTAATAATAGCGACGATAGTATTTCTAATACTACTATTATAAACTACTATTACTTAGAGGGCTATAAACTTAGCTAAGTAAATAGCTTATAAAGTAGTAATATTATACTTAATATTACCGTTAATCCGTAATTATAAACTTTATAAAAAGGAAAGTTTAAAAAGGTAGAAAATCTAAAAAAATAGTCTAACGAGATAGTAAGAGTATCTACTTATACTATATATTAATATTATATAACCGATATTAAGAATTACCTGAGTAATTAGTAAAGGTAGAAATAAAAAACAAATAAAAATCTTATAAATTTTATAATATATAGAAATCTAAACAAATAATAAGTTAAATAGAGCGAGTTCTTATTTAAATATAATTTCTAGATTATTTATTAAAAATATTTAAAAAATAATAAAATAAACGCTCTTAATAAAAGACCTAATTATAAAATCGTAGTCCCTAAAAAAACATAAGTTATTTTTAAATAAGAAAAGAATAGTAGCTTTATATTAATTATAAAGCTTTTTATAATAATTAAAAGGATTAATATTAGCTTAACTAAAAAGATAACCCCTAAGCTTATTATAAAAATTTATAATATATTAATATATAATTATTAAGGAGTAATTAAAATATAAAAACGGATTTATTAATATTATAATAAATTTATTATATATATTAAACTTATAAAAATAATTAAAAACTACGTAATTTATAAAAAAATAAGAATAGTTTATATAAGCTTTATAGCGAACTATAACTAGTATAATTACTAATAAAAATATAGTAATTAATTATATAGGATTTTATTATTAAACTATTAAAATCTAAAGAACTATTTATTAGAATATAATATGATAATATTTTAATTATAGTTAACTAACTTATTAAGTTTATATATTTTATTTTTTATAAAAAGTTTAATATAATAAAAAACTTAGTGTATATATTTATAAAGGTTATATTTTTAAATTATAGTTTATTAAAAGAAATTATTTTTAATAAAAATAAGCCATTTATTTTAAAGTTTTGAAAATTTCTAATTTCGTAACTTAGTATAAAATTTAAATTATTAATATTATTTTATTTATAAACTAATAGATAAATAAAAAGGATTAATTAGATTTTTAAAATATATTTGTATTATTATATAAACTATAACTAAGATAACTAAGTAATACTCTTATTAATAACTTAGTTTATATATAATAATATAGTTAATAAAAATATAAAAAAATCCTTATTTTATTTTAACTACGGACTTTAAGTAACTATATATAAAGAAATATAATAAAAATTATAAGCTATAAAAGCTATAATAAACGTAAATAAATTTAAAAAGATTTATAAATAAGCTTTATTAAACCTCGAGTTTATATAATAATATATAAAAAAAAACGTAAATAGATTAAGGATTAAAGGACTATTTTTAAAAAAGGGGGATAGTATTTATTTTTTTATTATAATATTAAAACGAAATACTGAAATAATAAATTAGATTATAGAAAGCTTAGAGTATTTAAAATTATTAGAAAAGTCTTACTAATTAATTATAAATTAAAATTATTAAATATAATATAATATTATCCCGTTTTTTATATCTTATTACTTAAACTTATATTAAGAGGTTTATATATAAAAGATTATATTATTATTAAACTAAATTAATTTAAATACGAAACCGAACGAGTTATTAATTATAAAATAAAAAATAGTAAAAAAGAATACTTTATTAAATAAAAAAACTATAAATATAAAAAAAATATATAAGAACTTATATTAATAGCGATAGCGATAGATAGCGAGAGAAGCGTTTTTTAATTTTAATAAAGGAAACGAGGTAACGAATATATATATATGCGAGTAAAGTTAAAAGTATGAGGGTAAATACCGTGAGGTTAGTATTATTCTTAATAACGGCGACGAGGGTATCTCTAATACTATACTATTATAAGCTATTATTACCTAAAGGGGTAATAAACTTAGCTAAGTAAGTAGCTTATAAAATAGTAACGTTAAGTACTTAATATTATTATTAATTAATTTATAATTATAAACTTTATAAAAAGGAGAGTTAAAAAAATAAAAAATTTAAAAAAAAATAGTTTATTAAAATAGTAAGAGTATTTGTTAATATTATATATTAATACTATATAATCGATATTAAGAATTGCCCGAGTAGTTAGTAAAAGTAAAAAATATAAATAAATATAAGAACTTATTACGAACTTTTAAAACTCTTAATAATTTCTTAAAGAGTATTAAAATTAAAATTAAACTTAGAACTCTTAGTTATTACGGAATCCTAATTAATAATCTTAAAAATATTATTAAATTATGTTTTACGGGCTACTAAGAAAGTATTTTCGAAATTTTTAAAAAACTCTTTTAATATAGTTTAGCTCTTTTTAAATATTATTTGTTTTTAAAAACGAAAATGCTATAATTTAAATAACGACTTATTTAACTTAGCCTAAGCTTATAAATAAGCCTTAGCTTTTTTTTATAACTTATTACGAAAGTAACATTATTTACCTTATTATTCGCCTTATCATTAGTATTACGTAAGCAATATATATACCATAATAATCTACGTTTTTCGTAGATTATTATAGGTATTGATTATGTAAGTAATACTGCTTATATAAGCTTACGTGAGCGATAGAAAGTACTGGAAGGTAACGGAATAAGCTAGAATCCTCTCGAGACGGAATTATATACTACGATTACGTATTTACTTACGTATACGCTTCTCAATTATTTCATAATTAATAAGCAATAGAATATTTTAATAAGAGGTTTTTATACTTATATATAGGCGTGCATTTACCTACTTAGACCTTTCGTTAAGTAAGTAACTTCTTATATAGTAATTTAACTATCTTACTCTCTTTATTATAAAAACCTCTTTTATATACGCTTATTACCCCTTTATTTATATATTCTTACTTTTATATAAATATTTACTTTTTATATTCTTTTGTAAGAATATCCCGTATCTTATTATAGCTATACGTGCTAGATAACTCCGTAGCTCTTTTTTTAAAACTATAACTTTTTTATTTTTTTTTTATAATTAAAATAATTAAACTCCGTTACTAATTAACTAATTATACCTAATTAGTTCCCTTTAGGGTCCGGCCCGCCTTATTAGGGGCTGTCTTTACCTTTATAAGTAAGCTAGTTTATTAAGGTTAATATCGAGTTTTTATTACGTACTTTAATAAGACTTTATATTAATTAGTAATAGCCGGTATAGCAGTTATCAATTATTAATATTAACTAAACTTAAAATATTAATAACCCTACTACCGTAGTATATTAATCGCCCTCTAAATAGCTAAAAACTAACCCCTACTTTTTACCTTATTTAATAACTTTAGAATATCCTTTTTAATCTTTCTTAACTTACTCTTATACTACGTTTTTAAAATATTAATAATATTTTAAAGTTAGTTAGGTATTTTAAGCCCGTATTATATAAACTAAGCGCTTATTAAAATAATAATTATATTAATATATTTTTTTTAATTTTTAAGTTAATAATATTTAATTTATATTCTTTAAAACGACCGTATTATAGTTCGGGGTCTTTTAGTATAATACTTATAAAATTAAACTTCTAGCTATTAAAGAAGCCCTAGGGGTTAATAATAACTAAACATCTTAGTATTTTAATAATATATAGTTAAAATAGACGATTTAATAATAATAGTAATAAGGTAATAGTAATAACTATAGGGCGATAGTAATAATAATAAAGTAATAGTAATAAATAGCAAGGGAAGTAGCGTTTTTTTTATTTTAATAAAAGAAACGAGGTAATAAATATATATATATATACGACTTAAAGTTAAAAGTATTAAAGTAAATATCGTAAAGTTAATATTGTTCTTAATAACGGTAACGAGGGTATCTCTAATACTATTATTATAAACTATTATACTTAGAAAGGTAGCTAACTTAGCTAGGTGCGTAATAAGCTTATAAAATAGTAGCGTCGGGCGCCTAATATCGCTATTAATAATCTTAAACTTTATAGAAAAGAAAGTTAAAAAAGTAGAAAATCTAAAAGAAAATAGTTTATTAAGATAGTCAGAGTATTTATTAATACTATATATTAATATTATATAAATAATACTAAGCCCCCTAATAGAGTAATCTGCCGGGGTCGTACTATATATTACGTATTAAGGAAAACTAAGTATAATACGCTCTATACCTAATTACTAATTAAAATAATAGTTAACTAACTCGATTATTATCTCCTTTTTATTAATAGCTCTTAACCTTTTATTACCCGCTTATAAGGTGAGCTTTATTTATTTTAATATATATAAGACCTCTTAGTACTAGCTTATATAAGTAACTAAGTTTAATATAATCTCTTTTTTTATATAAGTATTATCGTTACCCGGGGGGTCTTATAAGAGCTATTTAAGATATTAGCTTATTACTTTAACTTTATATACCTCTAGCCCGTTTATTATAATTATTATAACTAGGCTAATATTAATATATTAAATTTTAATATTTATATTAGCCCGGCTATTTATAATATTTATAATATTACTTAGTTAAATTTTATATTATTAAAAAGTACTTTACTACTTTTTAAGTATATTTATATTAATTATAATAGTTATAGCGTTGAGCTAACTAAAGAGGGCGCCTAGCCCGAGAGGGGTAGACTTATTAATTAGTATTTTTAAAAAGTTCTAGCTTATTAATTATTAACTATATACTAAGAGTAAAGTAGTAGTTTATATATTAATAGGTTTATTTAGTAAATTTATTTAGTAAATTTATTTAGTTTAAATAGAGAGTAGCCTTAGGTAATATTAGAAACGATAAGAATAAAAAGAATCTTTATAAGCTCTATAAATATTAGCCTATTTAGCCCTTTTTTTAAAAACCTCTACGTTACTATAGAAGTTTTGAACCTCTATAGTTAAAGAAGGCTACTTCTAACTATTACGGCCGATTATTATAGCTAATTATTACGGCCGACCTTTATTATTAACCTTTTTAGCCGGCGCTACTACGTAAGTATATTACTTAGTTTATTATTAATAAATAATAAGATAGCTTATTTATCCCTAATTAAAGAGCGGTTTTCGTATCGAAATTATTATATTACGTTAAGCGCGTACTTAGGATATATTACGTATATTATATAATTAAAAAGTATACTATATTATATAATTTCTTTTAAAAATATAGTCCTATTAAGGTCGATCTTTTATACTTATAAAGCTAGAAAAAAACTACTATATAAATAATACTAAGAACCGCCCGAGTAGCTAGTAAAAGTAAAATAAAAAAAACAAAAAAGAAAAAAATACTTAATTAGTTAAGACTTAATAAATAAAAACGTAATATTTATAAATATAAGTAGTATTAGTAAACGTATTATATAAAATATTTAAATAATAGTATATGTTATAAACTTTAGAACTAAAAAGAACTAAATAACGGGCCCTTTATAAATAATAATTTAAATAAAATATTATTTTTATACCTTTATTAAAAAAACGAATAATATATAATAATTTATAACGAGACGTAGCTATTAAAGATTTCGATTTTTTAATTCAATTTGATATTATATTAGTATATTTTAAAAAAATACTTAACGATTCCTTAACTATAGAATAGACGACTTATTTATAAGCCTAGAGGATTAGATTATTTTAAAAAAAAAAGCTAATATTATAACTTAATATATATAATAAAATTAGGGTCCCGCCCTATAGGACTTATAGTAGTTATTATATTATATATATAGAAGTATAGATTTAGGGTAACTCTTTTTAAAATAAAAGAATTATAAATAAGTAGCCCCCCGACGGAGTAATCTGCCGGGGCCGTACCGTATATTGCGTATTAAAGAAAACTAAGTATATTACGCTCTATACCTAATTACTAATTAAAATATAGCCCGTATTAAAAGGATTTTTAACTTTATAAAATATAATTTCTAAATTAGTATCGATATACTAAATCTTAACGTCCGAGTTAGTTTAGTTATTT